CTAAAAAGTCGATCCTGCCTCGTGAGAACTTGCCGGAAAAGGGTGGCAGGACAGGTTATTGGCGCAAGGGCCCGCGGTCTCAGCTTTGACACCTATCAAGCTTTGCACTAAATGATGTGTCAAATTAAAGGTGTCAATAAGTTGATTTAAGGTCTGTTCGCACAGAAATCGCAAACCAGTCAGAGCGAATTTCATTGGTTGGAAACAGTCAGGAAACTAGTTTCAACCAATGAAATTTACTCATCCTGGTTAGGGATTTCTGTGCGAAGAGACCTTAAATCAACTTATTAACCCCTTTAATTTGACACATCATTCAGGCTAAAATTATCTCTGGGCTAAAACTTGATAGGTGTCAAAGCTGAGACCGCGGGCCCTTGCCCCAATAAGCTGCCCTGCCACCCTTTTCCGGCAAGTTCTCACGAGGCAGGATCGACTTTTTAGATAGGGGACATCGAGACCTTCAATCTGATACCCTACTTAGGGCATAACTCGATGGGGGTAGTGTTACGTTTTTTTCAATTTGTTAATAATTTGTTAAAAGATATTTCCGGCAGAATTTGCTCTCAGGCAGGAATACAGGTTAATAGATGCACAAAATACTATATTTTGATAATAGTGTCGACACATAACTCGATCGGGGTAGGAAAAATGCGGTCGTCTCCCTAACTAACAGGGTCATATTTAGAAAAGTCATATACATTTCAGAATAAAAATTTATTTTCAATTTCTTTAAAGGAAGTTAAGTTATTAAAATCCAAAAATCCTGGAATTAGAGTCCAAAGTAAACACTTATAATAAGAGTAAACACTTAAATCCAAACTAAAACCAGGTTTGAAACGCAACACCGAAATACAAAGGCACAGAACACTACATAAAAAAACAAAAAAACCGATGGCGATAATAACAAATAAAAAAATAATGCAGTAAACGGCAAAAAACTGAAAGATTTCACACAAAAATTCGAAATTCAAAATTCAAAGACCCTAATCTGTTATTTTTATGTGTCAAATCAAAATGTCATGTATCATTATTTGATAGTTGTCAAAAAAAGGGACAGATCTGGGGATTTTATTAATTTTCAACTGGTGAAAATAACGGTCAAAATTCAAACTCTCTCGTGAATAAGACTATATACCAACATACCATATTTGATTGAAAAATTTCAGATTTTGCAAATTTCAAGACTAGGAGGAGCTGATTGATAATACTGATTTGGTGAAACGAAGCTTAGAATTTTTACTATCCAGCAAGCTGGCCTGTAATTATAATTGGCTGGGACGTAGGAAAAAATTTGTTTTTAAAGACCAATTTGACCAGATTGTAAGCCTGATTGTGGGTAAGCTACTATGACTTCAATGATCTAAGCTATGATTTGATTTAAATTTTAAACTATTAGTAGTTAAAATCTTCACTAAATGAGATTCCTCCTATTATTGTCCTGGAAACCTATACCATTTCCAAATCCAAGCGGTAGTAAATGATATTATAACCTAAATTGTAAACAAATATTGGAGGACATTTGCTAGGTTGTAATGAGAACGACCAGTTATGTCTTTACTGCCGCTTGGATTTGGTTCAACCATAGTTATGGGTAAATTAATTAAATTTCAGAATTCTCGGAAAACACAAGAAAAGCAAAAGATCAAAAGAAAACTAAAGAGCTGATAAAGGCTTTGTTCAGAAGAGCAGCTGAACGAACAAGGACACAAAGATGTAAGTTCACAAAAATAAAAATATATTTTTTTTTTCTAGCTATATGACAGTTGTGGCCAGAATTGTATTATGTAATAATTTTTTTGCTGAAAAAAGTAAGAAGAAATGTGTTGTTGTAATTTCTGCTTTTTTATTTTTAGGTGCGACTAGTTCAGACGTTTAGTCACAGCCATGTATTTTTAAGTGTTTTTTTTTTCACGTTTCGTTTGTACCTTTCATAATTATTGTGTGACAATTATTTCAATAAATATTGTACACCAATTTGAAAGTATAATACTTATTTTAATTTGAGCCCTACCACCCAAAAGATGTATGTACATGGTACGTACTATATACGTATATTCCGTCCATTTTACAGCCAATTTTGGTACATATAGTTCATACCAAATAAACTTGTTGTTGTGACATCGATGACGCCATTTTTAAAATCGATATCGCCAACCGTGAAAATATTCGGCGTCGGATTGACTTAATTGGAATTTGAATTTCCCGCTGGCCATTCAGTTGGTAACTCCATGTCAAAAAATGTAACGTTGCCAAATTAAATTCTTGACATTTTGATTGCATTTTGGCAGTTTACGAGTTTTTGGTTTGTGCTGTTAATTGTGACCTTGTTTTTTGAAATCAGCTTGTAGTGCGAAGTGTACAAGATGCCGAAGCAGCTTAACAGCCGTTGCAAAGAACTAATCGCATCCTTTTTACAATATTTCGAACGAGAACGCGATAATAATGGCCCTTAATGTCCCTTAAATGCTGTTAGGAAGATGAGTTTATAAGTCGTTGATGTCGTGTGACCAAATACGAATTTTTAATTTGAACTTTCTCTCATTTTTAGCGAGTAGCAGAGGCTTTGAACTTAAGTATGTCCACTGTCTGTGCTATTTCGAAGACAGTAAAAAATAATGAAGATTTGGAATCGCCTTCTAAGAAACGATGCACTTCGAATAAGAGAGTCTGTGATGTTTCAAAGCTCGATAGCAGTGCTATACATAACACTATTTACGATATGTGTATAAAAAGTAAATCGTTTGAGACAAAGGTACATATAGATATCTATGAATCGCCTTTCACTTATCAATATTGATGAAGACTCTAGCGATTTCAGTGATCCAGAATAATTGAAAATCTTCTTGATGGATCAAATATTCATAATATTTAATAAGATATTTATAGTATTTAGAGTGGCTGTAAATAAAATAGGTACTGAGCGTTATTATTATATTTTATGTGATGATTGAAAATTGAGTTGTTAATAAATATCTATAAAACCAAGCTTTGAAGCAATGTTTATAATTTAGGTAATAAATGTTTGCATTATATTATAATACAATCCATTATTGTTTCTGAAAATATTTTGACCAAAGGAAAATATGGCAGAGACGGCAACGCTGTGCCGGCCGAGCTTGACAACCCGACTATAAGTTTATTTGGTATGAACTATAGTATGTACATTACCACATCCGAGGGACGTACCTGGGACGTACATAGCGTTGGAAAATGTACGTTCCCAGTACGTACATAGTACGTATGGTTGCTGTATGGGTGTAGTAATCAAGAGACTGATGTAGACTTCTTTTCTAGTACTTACTCAAGCCGTACCACTCATCAGGCTCCGGAATACTCATTTTCCAACGTCACTACTGATGTTTCTGGATACTCTGTTTCTTGAGCTGAGGTTACAGGACAAGTAAAAAATTCACCTGATAAGTTGTCACGTGGGCCGGATGGAATTCCCTTGCTCTTTATAAAGAAATATTTGGTACACCCTTGCGACGCCCCTAGCAAATCTCATCAAACATTCATTGTCGACAAGTTCTTACCCGGTTTTGTGGAAGTTCAGCTTTTTGAAACGATTATTCAAAAGTGGGTCAAGAGAAGATGTTACAAAATTACAGGGCTGTTTGCGCGCAGACTAAGATTCCTAAGTTGCTGGATTATGTTATACCAGGAAACTTAGCTGGGACTGTTAGTACCATTTAAATCCGGCGCAACAGCAAAGGATTACGTTGAGTAGGTCGACATCAACAAATTTGGTTTTGTATCAGAATTTTATTTTGAACAGCATGGAGAGGGGGTTCCAGGTTGATTCTTTATACTGGGATTTCTCTAAAGGCTTTGACAGGGTTAACCATTGCCTGCACATTAGGAAACTTGGTTGTTTGAGGTGAGAGGTCCAATTCTGCGATGGTTAGCTAAATTTCTTGTTGGGAGGTATGGTATGGCAGTGTTGTGTCTCGTGGCTTCAATGTTCCTTCTGGCGTAGGTACCCCAGGGGTCTCTCACTGGGCCGATCCTGTTTAATCTGTTCATATCCGATGTGAGTAGTTCCATTGCACACAGCTTATTTTTGTCATTCGCAGATGATCTTGAGCTTTACGTCAGGTATCATTGTTGAAAAACTCACAACTGCTGCAGGATGAGATGATATAGATTATTTTGATAAATTAATGGTGTAGCTCGGAACGAAATGTACCTCAATATTGCCAAATGTTATGAGATAACTTTTTCCAGGTTAGCCCAAACGGTGAAATTCCCTTACACAATTAATAACACACCAATCAGGGAAGTAGCAAGCATTCGTGATTTGGGAGTGGAATTTGGCTCCAAGATGTCATTTAATGACCATATTGCCAATACTGTGTCAAGGGCAGTTAGATGTTTGGGTTTTTATATGTAGGTCCGCTACTGATATGTCTGTGAACAATAGTGAACATTGTAGTGTTGTTTTTGGAATACTCGTCGGTTGTTTGGCCACCCCAACTTCGCAACATGCTTCACAATGCAGGTCTAGAAAGGATTCAGAATAGATTTCTAAGGGTGACTGCTCACAGATTGGGCTTGGCACATGACGAGTATACTTATGACGGGATGAGGGCTTTCTTCTTTCTTGCTTGAGTGTTTATACCTCGCAAAGTAGAAGCCTTCACGCGGATCTTTCTTTCCTTTACAAACTTTTGAGAGGGTTAATTGACAGCCCAGATCTTCTGGGTCCCGTTTCGTTGACGAGGAGAAAGGAGGGTGAGAGGTTTTGACCTGTATTTGATGGAGTATTGACATCTTTGGTTGTTTTTCTGTTGTTGCCTTTAGAAAGAGATTGCTATCGTTGCTTCCTGAATAGTTCTTAAAATAAGTTGTATCTGTTTTCTGGAATTCACAAGGTTGTTAACTTTTGATTAACTTTGTGATAAAACATTTTGCTCCCATTTTTTTTTCCTAGATAGTTATCATTATAAATGCATTAAATACATATTTATTATTAATCGTCGTTTCTGTGTATAGTACGTCAATGATGATAAACTCAATATTCGGCGCAACGGGAGACGAGTATAGTGGTCCTTTAACGCAAGGTTAAAAAGGAGGAAGGCTAAGTAGGAGGTCTGCTTGGTAGTAGGGTAAAAATAAAATCGAACATTACATTGAACGTGAACCTAGAGAGTGTAAAGATACGCGTATTTACAGTTAGTCCGGTCTTTCGCACTGTATTCATACTTGTCCTGAATAAAAGGAACTACTGATTTTTTCTTGAGAAATTTTTGGTGAGTGCTATTTCTACCTCTCATATTACTTGTAGGTGTATTTTAAAAAAATTGAATGGGTTTTTTTTCAACTTATCAAATTCTTAACATGCGGCGCGCATTGATACTCTTTTATTAAATAGGTATACCATTTTATAATCTCCTAAGTCTAGAAACCTAACTTAATTAATCATTGTTGTCTTATTGTCTATACCTACATTACCTACCTACTTAATTGATAACCTATTTATAGATGCACTTTGTGAGTGTATCAAGTATAAAATATGTAAATTATTTTGGGCGTATCCGTATTGACTTTGCTATATTTGTCTCTTGGTAAAAGATTCTTTGGTAAAAGTTCCTCCTATCTAATTTTGAATAAATTATCTCAGGTCGTGATTTCTATTTAGACTTGCTTGAATGAAAATTTATTATAATATTAATTGTAATGCACTTTGTATCCTTGACTTATACTTTATCATTGTTACCTATGTGCGCATTTCCTAAATTCCTTGAAATAAAAAGGAACCTTTGCAAATTCCTTCGGCAGCTGTTCAATCCTTAGATCATGTTTAATCAACTATATACAAAAACGATACAAGTGAATAGTAGAATTGAATGTTCTTTTCTACAATACTGACTATATAGGTAGGTACCTAAAACAGTCTCGATATTGATTATTACTGGTTTTTGATTTGCTGGACATTTTTTAAAGAGAAAATCTACCAGTTATGAGTCTAAATTTTGGTCATTACCGGCTCTTGATTGTCTTCTAGAAAGTTGTTTAGGTGTTAGGTACCCTATGAAGGCCTAATGGTAAAAAGAACTTAGGTATATTTCCTATTTCTTCTGAATTACTAACAAATGAATAAATGAAATATGTATACTATAGCAGAAAATTATGATTCTTTTTTATTTGTGTTTAAATGCCAATTGGGTAAATAATATTCAAATATACGTACCTAGCAAATTTGAAGTGTTACCTATACCTAAATGAGTAAATCTACTGATAAATAAAATTGTGCAGTTCATTATTACTTACCTACTCAAAAATTTCCGATAATATCAATACTTACACTTATTTTTTCGTATGGTTCTCCTCTCCATTAGTAGGTCGATCGAGTCTACGCTACTGGTAGTTTCCTGCTTCTGACTACCCCCTCAACCTTTCCATGTTAGTATGAATTCACTCCTATGTACAGTTTTTGAATACATACAATTTTGTATATTTTCATATGGTTCTCCATTCGTAGGTCGATCGAGTGTACGCCACTGGTATTTTCCTGTTTCTGACTACCTCCTCAACCTTTCCATGTTAGTATGAATTCAATCCTATGTACAGTTTTTGAATAATCATACAATTTCCTATATACAGTTTCTGAATAATCACAGTTTTCTATATTTCCGTATGGTTATCCATTTGTTGGTTGATCGAGTGTACGCCACTGGTATTTTCCTGTTTCTGATTATTCCCTCAACCTTTCCATGCTAGTATGAATTCAATCCTATGTACAGCTTTTGGATAATCATACAGTTTTGTATATTATAAGTTCTAATAAAAATATTGAAAGTTGCAATTATTTGATTCGTTATATTTATGTCTGGTTGGGTTGGGCCAAATTCAAAGTGGAACGCCATTTATTTATAACCAGCATACAAGGGCGCAATAATAATGAAAAAAACTGGATCCGAAATATGCCTTGGGGTCACCATCTGCAGTTTAATTGAGATACCAAGGCCAGTAACAAAATACATGGGATATGAGAATTGAAACTTTTTTTTTTCTTTGAGTCCTCTCTAGTCTCGACAGAGGGGGACTATATCAATTATATTTTTCATTTTCAACGACTTTTCATCTTTTTTCAGCTGTAATTATTCGGATAAATCTATCTTTACACATTTACAGTAAGTTCTTGGGCCTGAATAATTAATACAAAAGCTATTTTGATTTAGTGGCACCTAGTGAAACCCCCGGAATAGAAAATTCACTAATCAGAAAAAATAATGTTTAACATTAAACTATTTGTGGTAGGTGTAACTAAAAATATACCTAATCCTAATAAACATAGCTTTTTATAAGCTAGATAGGTAAAAATAGCTTTTCTATTTCCTTCCATTTAAAATTTGATTGTGTTTATCCTCATAAATAAAATATTTTAATTGGCCAGTATTTTTCCGTAATTAACTAATCGCTGCTGTCTACTGCGTATAATCGCAATAATTGTTAATTTATTATCGATAATATATCATGATGTTGATGCGTGATCTACAAATAAAATACGCCAAATGAAATGTTTGAAAAATATAGGCAATCGAGTTTATTATTTCAATGAAAAATTATAAGTTTATAGTCCAATCTAGAATTTTTGAAGAACATTTCTTAATAGATCATCATTTGCACACAATGTGTTGACCACTCGCTTCGCTCGTGTTTCAATCTTCACATTTAGTGCAAAAAACACGCACATTTTACAACTTGTTACATAAATAGCTATTTCCGAACAAATAATTATTCGAACAAATGTTTTCGAACAATTTTCTCCGATCCCACGTATACATATACGTACCTTTGGATCACTTGATGTTCGACCCAATCTCAACCAAATTATGTGCCTGGAAAAACCATCTATGCAACCATTTATACAAATTCCGTAGGGTTTAAGCTTATCATAGGAATCCATATGCCATAAATAATTGGGACCTTTATTAAAATACTGGCGCCTCCTAAGTCTTTTTCTTTTACGAAGAATATGCCCCTCTGGATCCAAAAACCGCAAAATTTCTGCGACTACTTCTTGGGTTACCACTAAATTGTTCTGAATACACCTAAGATGCATCCATCTGTATCCATGAAGCTGGCCAGAACCTTTCAACTCGTTTTCAATAAATTGAACAACTGTTCTAATAGGTGAATAGTACTTCCTTCGGAAAAGTCCTAATTTTTGCAGTATTCTTTTAAGAGTTCTAGGGGAGATGATTATCCCATTCAGAGACTTTAGCAATAGCAGAATTTCATTCTGTTTAAAACCATACGAAAAAAGTTCTCTTATTTTAGTTGTGGTGTAATCCTCCTAAAATTAAGAATAGTGATTTAGGCAACAAGTGCGTGTAAAGTGAACCGTTTTTTACGAATGTGGAGTTTGACGCTCGAGCCGCAGACGAGTGCGACACTCACATGAGTGGGGTGACTACGAATATCATAGGATTCTCAAGTTTTAAAAAATGTATAAAATTGCGAGTTTGTATGCCCCTCTTTACCAGGTGTCAACGAATCTATTAGACAAGCCATAACTTAATTCTAGAGTGTTAGGTTTATCAAAATGAGATTTGGTATAAGTGAAAGAAATATGAGGAAGAGATTTTTCGCATATTTTTTATTTTCGAGTCAGTTTTACCAGAAATGGCTTTGATTTCGAATTTTTAAAGGGAATATTATCACATTTTTGAATTTCTGAGACTATTCTGAATTAGAAAATTACATTTTTGGAAGTTTTTACTCCTACCCGATTTTTTTAGAGCCACTTTTAATATTGCATTTAGGTTTCCATGATCGTACGCAAACTAATACAGAGTGGCAAAAAAGTACTGCATACAACCTGTAGCTTTTTAGAACCTTTTTTCATATAAAGGTACTAAAAAAGTTACAGGTATTATCCGCTACTTTTTTGCCACTCTGTATAAGGACATCAGGTTTTGTTAGAAAATTATAATCGCACCGTTATTGTGGTCAGTACCTATGCTACGAATAAGGCAAGTTGGCGAAATCACATTTTCGTGGTAATTTTTATTTATTTTTTTCCAAACGGCGACCCTTTTTTGACAAAAACTTCCTGGAAAGAGGATTTTTTGGCGAATTTACCAACACTAATTTATTCGTGATTAGATTAAAAATAAGCTCATAAATTGAATATTACTAAAACTACCATTTAAATGGAATACACGTGTGGCTCTTGGGAAATCAAGTAGGCGTAGAAACTATCAAAAATGTCACATTCTGATTCAGAATTGTCTTAAAAATCTAAGAATGAAAAAATATACATGGTGTACCGTTTGAAAATTCGAAACGCTAGAGACATTTCCAATAAAACCAGAAGTGACTCGAAAATAAAAAATACCCGCAAACTCTCCACCTATACCAAATCTCATTTTGATAAACCTAACACTCTAGAAGATATGGCTTGTCTAAGAGATTCGTTAACACCTCTAGAAGATATGGCTTGTCTAAGAGATTCGTTAACACCCTATATGTGATAAATATTCCCAAAACCACAAAAAAAAAATAAAATTTCGATCAATGAAATAGCTCGCCAAAGCTAAAAAACACCCTCTAACAAATTTGAGGAAAAAAACACACACTTACGTCATCTGCCATTTCGGTCGTCCTTAAATGTTAGGCACTCACTTCTCACTAATTGTACTCAAGCACATCGCGTTGTACCTATAGGTTGGTTGGATTATGATCATAATAATATTTTAAGCAAAATAATTCAAAATTTTGAGTTTTATTGCAAAATTTTGTAAAAAAGTACGAAATTTTGAGATTTTTTGCAAAATTTCGCAAAATAATTCAAAATTTTGAATCTTTTTACAAAATTTTGACTTTTTTTTGCAAAATTTTGTGAAATAATTCAAAATTTTGCATCATTTTACAAAATTTTGCAAAATATCTCAAAATTTTGAATCATCTTGCAAAATTTCGTACTTTTTTACAAAATTTTGACTTTTTTTGCAAAATTTCGCAAAATAATTCAAAATTTTGCAAAATGATCCAAAATTTTGAGTTTTTTTGCAAAATTTCGCAAAAAAATTCAAACTTTTGCAAAATAATTCAAAATTTTGCAAAAAATCTCAAAATTTTGAATTATTTTACAAAATTTTGCAAAATATCTCAAAATTTTGAATCATTTTGCAAAATTTCGTACTTTTTTACAAAATTTTGACTTTTTTTGCAAAATTTCGCAAAATAATCCAAAATTTCGCAAAATAATTCAAAATTCTGAGATTTTTTACAAAATTTTGTAAAATAATTCAAAATTTTGCATCATTTTACAAAATTTTGCAAAAATTCTCAAAATTTTGAATTATTTGGCAAAATTTTGTAAAATAATTCAAAATTTTGCATCATTTTACAAAATTTTGCAAAAATTCTCAAAATTTTGAATTATTTGGCAAAATTTTGTGAAAAGTTTCAAAATTTTGAGATTTTTTACGAAATTTTAAAAATTATTTGCAATGTGGCCCTTCTACGCCTTCGTATCATCTGCTTCAGATTTTCATATATACAGGGTAATTTAGGTAGCCTGTTTGCAAGTGGATTAGTAGACATAGACACCTGCACTTGGGCTACGTGAAACACCCTGTATAGTGAAAACTTATTGACTAAAAATAGAGTACCGCATACTTTGATAGAGACTATTACCTACATAATAATTAACCTAATTAAGTTCTTATGTATATTTGACAAACATTGTGAGTATTTTTGGTCCCACTTTCTTATCAGTTATTCGACAACCAAAAAGTTTTGTCAATAAACAAACCAAGCCCATAAAAATGTTCAAACAGTAGGAAATTGGCATCTGAATATCTACATTCCTCCAACATGTTTTTAGTTATTTTTTGATCCACTGATGCATAGTAGATCCAAAAACAACAACAAGGACTTATTTTTGACTGGTGTATTTTAGGAAAGGCACTTTGCCAGGCTCTTGCACATGTAGTTTACTTGTTTTTTTCAATATCTTTTGCGTTTTGAAATTGTTCGATACTCCGATTATGTTTTTGACCTCAAAGCCACATAATTATTACTATCTATATAAGTACTTATTACTTATTACATAAAATAATTATATATTTTTTTCTAGAATTTAAACTAAACCAACATGTTTCCTCATCACCATATGGCCCAAGAAGAAGCCAAACTCGACATGATGCAAAGGGGATGGCAATCGAACAGGCGAAATGCTTCTTCTTCCACTGCATTTTTTGAAAGAGCCAATGAAACTGAAGACTTTTTGGCATTGCCTAGACAAGTGAGGATTTTTAAGCCAGATTTATTATATTTATTTATAAAAATTTATTTTTTTATTCCAGAACACTGCATCATGGAATAACATTTGCGTGCCTCCGCCTCAAGAAAAATCATGCAGCGATATTGAAAGTGACACTGAATCTTTAGATTTTCATGTAAGGAATTAGATTCTTTTGTATTGCAATAATTCATCTTTTTGTATTTCTTCCAGGAAGCCATTCTCTATTCCAAATCGTTCAAACCTAAAAAAACTTGCTTAAAACTTGACGCTTCAACCATAAAAGACCTTCCAGCGCATTACACAATCTGCTCATTGGAAACCCATCAATTTCCAGTTTGTGGTGTTTATATTGATATAAGAATTGTTCCTGGATTTAAATACAAAGTTAGACCATTGCCATCTGTTGGAGAAAAGTCGACAATCAATAAATGCTTGTTTAAGGATAGAGCTTTGAGATTACAAACTATTGGCAGAGGTAAGATTATGATCGTAGTATCTTCAATGTACATACATACATATCGCATATGAGCCCATGTTATAGATTGTTTTGTGTGTTACACTGGATTTCTCTGATGTAGATGTAGAGTTTCTGGTCACTCTGATGACTTATTGAAGTTTTTTCAGCTTTCTTGGATGTCAAACAAATCAGTTACAAAATTAAGCAAATATATAGTTTTTGAAAAGTGAAATATAACATCCTTCTATAAATTGAGTAATTTCTCAAAATCTATGCAAGCTACGAATATGAAATTTTGTGGTTTTATTTTTGAGGCACTGAAGCAGGACATACTAAAAATTCAAATAATTTTCTAGGTTTTGCCAGACGTATCACTTTTGAACCTGACAATGGTCAGCTCAATTCCAACGATAACTATTTCTACACCGACAACAGACCGGAAGGTTACGCTTTCGAACTGGAAGTGATATCTGAAGGAGACAAATTTACCATTTTTGATATGAACCATGAAGCTCAGGGAATCGTGGATGTGTTAAAAATCGAGGTAGAGATTTAATTTTCATGTTAGAAAGCGTTCAGTGAGGCATTCAAATCAATTCAGCGTTCCCAAATCCAAAGCAATAATTAATTATTTTTAAAAAAATCATGATTAATCGATCTTTTTATACTGGAGCAAAAGTTTGAAGCTATTTGTTAAGGGATCGAAATAGTAAGGAAATATATCTAAACAAACAAAAATTTAGCCGATAATGAGCGTATGAGTGGCACTTTTAAATTCATGATTTCAGGGACTAAAGTCCCTAGGGATTAGTGCCACATTAACCCTTGAACATATAAAATATTAATTTTACATTCTTAAAATGTGCTTTGTGAAAGTCTATTATAAATTTTCAAAAAAATTATGGGGACGCTGAACAAAAAAAAAATTCGAAAAAACAAGTTGTTTTATCAGAACCACAACAACCATCCATCACCGAAGAGTACCCACCTTAAAAACCTGATAAGGAACCACACAAATCACGCACCGGATTAAAAACTGTGTGTGCGTCGTCGTAAGTCTTTTAACAAAAACTTTTTACCCAGTTTATACAATTTGCTTATGATGCTCACTCTTTCAGGGACCTCAAATTGAATTTTCTAGCTCATTAACTAAGCAAGGCATCGAAAAACGAGCCAATGTTAAATTTACAGGCAAAGTTGAGTTTTACGATACCGGTGTTGCTAAACCCATGTTGCTTAACGGTGTCGCTATTGCAATGAAACCCAAAGGCAAATCCAGTGCTGAAATAGTTAAGGTTGTTAACATTCACGTGAAAAGGCAGAGGCTCTATTTGGTTCCTGGCATTCTGAACAATTATAGGAGGGTTACTGTTAGAGGATCTGATATTAATGATGTGCCTACCAAGTACACCATGACTGGTTTGGAACCCTATGAAATCCCTGTTGTCGGTGAGAACTTTATTATTTTGAAAAAATTCATTCATAATAATTTTTTCAATGTCTAGGAACATACGTCGACCCAAGAATTATCCCAGGTTTTTGCTACAAAGTTAGACCTAACAACAAGAAATATCACCTGTTTGGTGGTCGTGCATTGAGGCTCATCAGCATTGGAATGGGATATGCAAAAGTAATTTGGAAATTTTTCCAATAATTTCTAGTCTTTATTGATTTCTTTTTTTTTAGAGGCTGACATTTGAGCCTGACTCCTTGAACAACCCAGGCAATTACTTATGGTCAGACAATCATCCAGATGGTCTTGGACTTGAACCCAGAGCAGTGTGCAATGGTATGCAGTTTTACGTTAAAGCTGGCAGTCAGGTTATTGGAGAGGCTATGGTGTTTAGAAGTGATAAGCCACAGTTTGAAGAAAAATCTGAAAAGGTACAAAATTTTGATTTTATTCATTCATAAAAAACAAATTGTGTAGAATACAAGTGATCACTATAAGTAGTACAAATCCAATTTCTCAAATCATCATTAATTTTTTCCAGATAAAAACATCTTCGGGTTTGTTCGCAATAGAAAAACACATCCATATTGACGTCATTTGTCACATCCAGCTATCCAGACCAGGAGGTGCTTCCAGTGAATTGGACTCTCACTTGATGCGAATTTCTGGGGTTGCGGTAGTAAGAAAAGAACACAAATCTAATCATGCCGAAGTGATCAAGGTCGATAATATCGGTTTCGATTCAGAATTGTATGTTCTTTTCTCTCAGATGCACGCCGATATTCAATTCATTCCAAAATAATAATTAGTTATTTGCTTTGCCATATTATGATCTAAATTTTATTTTTTTTTACCAATTATAACAGGGTGTTCAAACTTGAAAAATTATTATGCACTCTATACTGTTAATCTAGTTTTTTATTAGTTACTTTCAAAGCAAGCAATTTTTGTTGATGAGACTTATTTTACTTATGGGGTAGTTTTTTTTAGAGACATTAGTTATGCAACTTAATATAATTTATGTATTATTAGTTAAGCAGTAATAGGTAGAATTTTCTTTGGCTACTTTGTGATTTTAATATACAAATTATGTAATAATAAAAATTATTAAAATGTATAATTGTGTTTTGTTCTGTAATCTATCACATGTTTCAGATTATAGTAATTTGTTTGGCATGATTAAACTCAATGATACTCCTATAATAGAGGAAGGTCTATTCACCCACTATTCAATATGATTGATTCTGAATCTTGTGAATTTATTTGGGACAATCATATGGACATTTATGAGTGTTCAAGTGATGAAGATCAGTTTTCCTCTGTGAAAAAGGTGAGGGTGGGTTGCCAACCAAATTTTTGTTTTTAAAAACACTTTCAAGGAGTACAAAAAAAAATATCGAGTAGAGTTGGGAACAAGAAAGAAAGCAGCGTATGATAATTTCACGAAGACAAGCAGCAATGTGGGAAGAAGAAGCAGCCCCAGATTCCTTGCTGAGGTGAAATTCTATACACTCTTCTATTTCTTTTTTCGTACCACTGCACAGAACAAATTTTGTGCCAATCCTTGGTCTTTTCCATTTGACTTGCCGTAGTAGGTACCTATGTTCGAGGTTTGGCTTGATGAATAGTTTGGTTTTCCATTCCTGGTGCATCAATTATTTGCTCTTCTTCTTTTCTTTGGTGTTTAATCCTGCGTTAGTGCTACAGCACTCTTACGCAATTTTGGGTAAGTCTCCTCACTGCCATGTGTTGTGTTTTAAGTCAATTTTTGTTCAGGGAAAGGGAGGGGAGTGGGGAAAGCATAGGAAGGATGGGCAAGGAGGGAAGGGGATTTCATTCACTAGAAGAGAAGTGGAGCTTTTAGATTTCTGAAAATAGTCCTGTCAGGGTTAATAGTATAGTCACAGCATATACAAAAACAATCAGCAGGCTAACTCGAGTGACAGCCCGTGTAATAAAGGAATTCATGATCGGGATGTCACTAGCGGCCATTTTGGGATACGAGACAGGACCTGATTAACAATAATTTCGATTTTTTCTTTCGTGTCACAGAGTCGTATTGGCTTTAAATAAACTAATTTATTATTACTTACATATTATAATATTTATAATAACTAATTTATTATTATTATTAAATAAACAAGAATGATAACTGATAACACCCTAAATGACAACACGAATATACTAAAATCACTTTGAAAATCATAAAAAAATACACCGCACGCCTATGACATCCGTCAGATATAAACAAATACATCAAAATGTCGGGGCCCCTGCCGTTCAATGACAGGATGGTATCCCCTAATGGCGGCGTGCGCAGAAAAGATGCGCGTGAGAGTTAGCCTGCTGATTGTTTTTGTATATGCTGTGGTATAGTTATCGTCAAATAAAGAATCAATTACCTATGTCATTTGTATGGTTAGTTTCTTTGTCAAGAAACCACGTACCTACCTATATGTTTCTCAACAAGGTCCTCCTGGATTGTATCAACGCTTAGGTCTGTATGTAGGTACCGTCAACTGGGGTTATATCGGAGCGCCGGGGTATTATCGAACGCAGCGGTAATATGTCAAATTGTGCGCGATACAGCTGTTAGGTGACATTTCGGTTAATAAACAAAAATATCCCTGGATTGACCGAATTGCCAACAAGTGGTGCATGTGTTTCTTGATAGATCAGAAAATCAAGGTAAGCTCACAAAAAATTAATTATTAGAGTAACTTTTTCGCTAAAATTCAGAGAGCCAAATAGTGTCCTCTGGCCTGTGAATCCTGTGCATGATAACTACGTGGTGCAATGGGATTAATAGTTGTTTTCAATTTTATCAAGACCCCCATAACCTCAAACTTTATCTTGCGTCCTCCGTTTTCACAAAAAATCGAAATTAACAGAAACTGTGTTTTTCAGGGGTAATACTGGACATGCCACGAAAACACCGTCATAAGCTAGGAACGCCCTATCGGCGCAATTATTCCCAAGAAAGCATGGAAAGAGCTTTGTTGGCCGTGTTAAACGATCATTATTCTTTCAAACAGGCAACTGAAATGCATGGGGTACCAAAAAGCACCCTTTACGATATTTACAGAGGTCAGCATTCTGACAAACTCGGGAGGCCTCCAATTTTGTCAGTGACTGAAAAGCGTTGGATAGTAGATGCCATGACCACTGCAGGAAAATTTGGTTATCCTTTTGAAAGGCAAGCAATCAAGGAGTTCCTGCGCCATTATTTGAACAGTAAAGGCGTTCATATACAATGTTTCAACGATAATAGACCTGGTGATGACTGGATTGAACACTTTATGGGGCGACACAAGGAGATATCACTCCGTAATAATTGTGAAAACATTAAACGAGTTAAAGCTGACATCACAGAAGATACGATTAGGGAATACTTTGAGCACTTGAACGAGACAGTCCAGGGGGTTCCACCTGGAAATATTGTCAATATGGATGAAACAAACCTTACAGATGATCCCGGAAAAAAACTAGTTTTTATTCCTCGCGGAGAAAAGCATGCGCGAAGGATAATGGATTTTTCTAAAACATCAACTTCTGTTATGTTCGCTGCGGCTGGAGATGGCACTTGTTTACCTCCGTACGTTGTGTACAAAAGTACAAACCTGTACCCAAACTGGATTGAAGGTGGTCCCGCAAACACGCTATATAACAGAACATTAAGTGGATGGTTCGATACTCAATGTTTTGAGGACTGGTTCCTCAGAACAGCTCTTCCCTATCTGCGACGAAAGGAAGACAAGAAGGTTCTTATTTGCGACAACCTGGCAAGCCATCTTTCTTACCGCATCATCAAAAGTTGCACCGAAAACAACATTCAGTTTGTATTTTTGCCGAAGAATTCGACACACTTATGTCAGCCCCTGGACGTTGCAGTGTTTGGACCGCTCAAGCGGGTATGGCGAGAAATTCTGACTGAATGGAAACGGACCCATAGAGGAGTTGTGCCGAAATCTGTATTTCCTTTGCTGCTGAAGAAGCTTCTGGAAAAATCGGAGGATGGAGGAAGGTTGTCGAGTAATATAGTGTCTGGTTTCCGAGCAACGGGCATAATTCCATTCGAACCAGAACAAGTTTTGAAAAGGATTCGGAAACGACCAGCAGGAGGCACAGATGACGCAATGAAAGCGTCGTTTACAGAAGTGATGAACGCGATTGTTATTCCTTTGGATCAAGCGGCGTCTAGACCCAAACGTAAGACGAAGATTAACGTGCCCGCTGGCAAATCGGTGGGTCTTGAAGATCTATGTGCAGTGAATGGTGGTACGTCAAGTTTATCTTCCTCTCTAGAAGATGTCATTAATGGAAACGGATCTAAACAGAACGATAATGATACAAGCTCTGTGATCGTTTCAGAAAACGATAGTCTTCACGAAGACTCCTTTTCTGAAGTGTCGGACGATGATTTTCCGTCGGAAGTACCAAACGTTAAACTTCCAGTAACCAGTGATACCTTACAAGAAGACTGTTTTGCTATAGTTAAGTTTTTGTACAACGAAGGGACCAAAAAAGAAACTACCAAAGAATTCGTTGCGCAAATTGAAAAAGTTGCAAAAAGCTATATTGCTGTGAACTGCCTTAGATCTTATAAGGGCCACAAAGATTCCTTTGTTTTTCCGGAAGTTGAAGACAAAAGCAAGATAAAACTTCAACAAGTCCACAGTATTTTAAGTGCGCCTAGAATCCATCGAGGCGTCCATGTGTTTGAAGGTCTGGAGTTACAGAATTAAGGGCATATCTGCCTACTTGCGTTTTCAGAATGTAATATTTCGTTTTTTTTTCTCCAAATGTTTGAGAACATTTATTTTATTTTTTTATATTTTTGACGTTCCTACAAGATGTTTTATGAATAAAGATGTTTATTTCCATTATATCGCCTTTACTTTTATTTTTACTGCAACACCTTGTTCCCTGCATGTTTTTTTTACATATAAAATGTCCGATAAAGGTTTCTAGACAAACCAATATCGAATACCAGGCTCAGCCCGCACTTTTTCAATGTAAAAATTGAATCGTCCAATATTACCCCAAACCCCGGGTTATATCGGACGCACTTTAAAAAAATAAAAAACAATAATCGTGACAATTTTTCAAAAAATTGTTTATGTAAATATGTTAACTAGGTTAACTTCTTACTATAGGATGCATTAGTTAGCTTTAATTTGTTATAATAAAAGCTATACCGCCAGATAATTGAAAACATCATCCGATATAACCCCGATTGACGGTACGCATATTGCGGACATACCACGGAGTGCGACCATATCGTCCATATCCTACGGATTACCTTGTTTTGAAACACCTGCAGCTTTTTCTTATTTTGACGTGTTGTCTGTGACAAATCTGTTGCACCGTAATGTGAAGTAGGTCTGATAACTTGTTTGTACAGTAATAGTTTATTTTTTAGAGTTAGATTACTGTTCTTTTTAAGCAATGGATAAAGCAATCACACTAATCTGTTGCATTTATTCAGTTTATGATAAATGTGGGGGGTCCAAGAAAGTTCACTATGTCCAGTAATAGTCCTAAATATTTAATTTGATTTGTCCGTATAATTTCGGAATCCTCCAGTATGAGGTTGGGCTTATCGATGTTAATTTTAATTTTCCATAATTTTGCCCAGTCAATTATGGAGTCAAGATGATTTTGCAGTCGTCTGTGTATGTGATGTGAGTACTTTTGTGAAGTGTAAATACAACTGTCATCTGCGTAGATGGACATTTTAGTATCGGGATTAATGGGGATGTCAGCCGTGTAGAGATTATGGAGCAGTGGAGCCAGGACAGAACCTTCTGGGACTCCTACTTCTATAGGTCTGATATTTGAGAAAGTTTCTTTCTTGAGTTTGACAGGGAAACTTCTGGCTTTGAGGAAATGAATGACTATGATCAAAGGCTATCTCGACATCCAGCAGCACAACACCCGTTGAGCGGCGCTGCGGGCGCGAGTAGTTTCTTCAACCAACCTGGCAAGCTGAATCTCAGTATTGTCTGGCTAGCCAAACGGCGAACTACAATAGAATTTGCTGCTTTGCCAAACTTGACGGAAACAGTAATAAACAAGTTGGTGACATATTTTTTTTTGCTATATGGGCAAGTATGCTATTTTGA